CTTTGTGAGCCGAAAGTCCTCACTATGTGGCAAAAACGAGAACAAAGCAATGACTTCTGCAAGGAGTGTGAGACCCTGGGATTTGCCCAGGTGACTCCAGCTGTCTCTCCCAGCCTGGACTTTCCTATGGGAGCAGGACTAGATGAAGAGCAGCTGTAATGAGGAAACCAAAAAGGGAATTGTGCAGGATATCCATAGCCACCACGTAAAAGGGGAGGCAAGGTGCAAAAGTGGCTTTGGGCGCTGAGGAAACCTGGATGAAGGCTTTGGAGCACATGCTGGCTGAACTCCAAGCAGCGCAGGAGGAGGAAGCTGGGCTGCTGCTGAGCAAGGGATCAGAAGAGAACAGGGGAGCGTAAACATCAGTGGGTGCAGAAGGAGACAGTGCCAGCATGTGCTGGAGCTCTTTGGCAGAGAAAGTCATGGAAGCAGGGCACGCTGCCTTGGTGGGACCACCATACAATGGATGTCATGGTGGACCAAGGGGTGAGAATGAACATAACCTTTCTGACTCTTGAGAAACTGAAGACAAAAAATTGGCGGGCAAAGAAGAGTTTATTTCTGACGAGCAACAGTTAAAAAAAAAAAGTTATTGAAAGCATCCTTTAAAGACAAGCTGTTGACTTGGAGATGACCTGGACTGCAGCAGGCGGGAATGGGGGGCATGCCCCAACAATATCAGGAGAGGGATGGATGAGGTAGCAACAGTATTTGAATGTGCCACCATGCTGCAGGGACCTCAGTTTAGTGTATGCTTGCACCGCTGCTTCTGCCCAGCACATGTGGACCTTAGGTGGACTCTGCCATGGGCTCTTCCCTGCAGGGACAGGCTCTCACCACTGGCCAGATCTATACCAGCCAAAAAAGTGTCTTGCTGAATTTTGGCACCAGAGATCAGCACAGTGCTGCATACAACAGGGCTATCATTATACCATGCCTCCCTCAGCAATGGGCCAAGTCCCCTTGCCTTACAGCACTAGGAGTTTGAACTTACCTGATGTCCATGTCCACATCTGGCCACACATTGGCACATCTCCAGGTGTGATGCATGAGGACAGTGTTGGCAAATTTCCACCTGTACCACTCACAGGCTTTGTGTGAGGACTCACTCCTGCATTTCCACTTCAGCCACTGTCCAGGGCTGGGTGAGAGTAGCACCATGTGGTTTTGTGCTGGCAGGAGCCCACGGCTCACCTTACCCGAGCTCCCCTCCCTAGGGACTGGCAACAGGTCTATCTTTCCCAGTCAAGAGCCTTGTCTCAGAGGTACCCTTAACCTCGGCAGCTTCAGTATAGGGGAAAACTGTATAGGGAAAAACACATGGGCAGTGAAGGAATGGGACAACAGAAGAGAAATGATCGTGTATAGTCATACAGAGTCCAGCTGGAGGTTTTTAGACCAGAGTTTCAAGTGGTCCGTTAACATCTAAGACCAGAGCACAGCTTGGACAACCACCAGCATTGCAGCCAGGCTCTGCCAAGAGCTGCTGGTGAAGAACCACATCTGTAGGGGAACTCCTGCGATGCAGAGGCCCACAGGCAGGAGCTCCAGGCTCAGGGCTTTGCAGTGATCATGCTGGGGAGGAGGAGGAGAGTCTCAGCCCAAGAAAGAGATTGGAGCTCCTGGGGTGTAGAGACAGAGCCATGCCCATGTCCCACAGGCTGGGAAAAGCAGGTACGAGCATTAGCACAACACCGCCATCCAGGCGGGCACCTTCATAAGAGTGTGGGGGCCTAAGGAGGGACACCCCCAAAGATGGCAGGTGACTCCTTTGCCTCTGTCCGCAGTGATTTTGTACAACTAGTTCCTCCTGCTCTCCTCGCCCAGCCTGTCCTAGCAGGGCACAGGCTCCTGCTGCCAGCATCCTCCAGTGTGGCTGGTCCTGCCCCACAGCTCCCTCCCCACTGAATACTCCTCCACGTAAGCTTCTTTTAAAACTTTTATTCAACAATATAGAATTCTTTTAATTATAATATAGAACTGTCCATGTTGATACTACATCCCCCGCCACCCCCATGCCCCAGCAGAGACAGGGCACAAGCTGGCTAGCTATGGTCTGTCAGAGGTTGGCAGGGAACAGCCAGAACGGAGGAAGGAACAACTACAACAACAACTGCTTTGCACACCCTTCACATTTCCACGCTTTCTGGGTCAGGAAGAACTCAACAAGGAACCAAAGGCAGAAGAACCTTTAACACTCGAAGGGCTGCGTAAAGAGGCGAGTGCCATCCAGCCAGGCATGCTGCCCTGCTCTCAGCCCTGCCCACACCGTGCTGTCTGTCTGCTGTCACTTTACACATGCTGATAGGATGTTTGATTTGGTTCTCATTCTGCTTATGGAAAATTGGGAGCAACAGCATCAGACCTGAGGAGAGATGGGAGGAGGGAAGTGAGCGTCACACGGCACTGTCAGTTCGACACAAGAGCTCCTTGGGCCCCAGGTGATAAGGAAATGGCTGGGCACACTGCCCCATATCCTGCTCCCAGCCAGGCTCAGCTGCACCCTCCATGTCCCTCTGGATGTGGGGACAGCGGGGGATCCTCAGCCGGCTTTAGAAGGGGTGGCAGGGTGAGAGGGGAAGGCAGGGCTGAGCAAGGCAAGGGAGAGACGCAGTCCAGCAAACCAATGCTTTCATGGGCAGATGGACACAAGTTTGGACTTTTTTCTCCCCAACCTCCTGTGTTAAGTCCCCCTCCACTGCCGCAAACATCTCCTCTAGTCCTGCTAAATACTTCCATCATGCCACAGCACACTTGCAACAGGCGTGGAGAAGCTAGGGAAGTTGCTTACTGCATCCCTCTCCTACCGCATCCCTCAATGGCTGCTGTGGTTCTGGTTTTGAGCCTTTCCTCTTACAAGGCACTCAGCCAAACCTGCACTCTACCTCTGCTAGAAAGCTGGGGCCAGGCCAGCTGAAAGGCCAAGACATGCACCAGGACTCTCCCAACTTTCTCCAGGAGAAAGCATATGAAGATGCATGTTCCTCAGCCTCCTTCCTTCCTAAGGACAAGACACTGTCTTCTCCAGCTCCTGGCTGTCTCTACAGGCAGGACAACACTTTGCTAAGGTCCAGAGGAGAGCAGCGTTTCCTGCTCCAAGTGCTGGAAGGGCTGATGGTCGTGGAGAGAAATTGGCCCAAGCTGCAGCCAGGTGTCCACACCGTCCTGGGATCAGGAGACTCAACATCCTCCTTGCTCCCAGGCTACACTTGCTCAGCTGCCATGTTTCCCTCCTGGATAAATCTGTCACAGCTCAACCTACTCTAGAGCTGGGGTAAGGATAGGGGGAGATACGGGGCAGGTTGTTCCAGCGTCTCTGGTTACCAGAACCAGGGAAAGCCATTTAACCATTTCACTCACTAGGAAGAACATCTCTCTTCCTCTGCTTGAGGGTACCAGGAAAGAATTTCTGACTCAGGTTTACAGAACTGATACTTCCCAAAGCACCACCTTGAAAATCCACCATCAGGTTTGGACACTGTCAAGCACTCATATATACAACAATCAACATTTTTCACCTATCAAAATTCCCACGCTGAACCCATTCTTCTCCCCCACCCCTCTTCTGCCTTGGCTCTCCGGGAGCTAGGAATGACAACACACAAGAGCTGGAAAATGGACAAGTTTCCCCCGTAGCAACTTGTACAGGCCATGAGAAACATCCACTCCCGCCTCTTCTCAATGGAACAATTCAATACATGTTTAAAATCAATTCAGCAATTGATATTAAAACCCCAAACCAACCCTGCTGGTATTCGCACAGCTAAAGAGCAAAAGAGACCCCCACGCCTCTCAGGCCAGGCAGCCTGTAGGTCAGACAGATGGAAGGACAGAGGGCTGGAAACACTTGCCAAAGCCTTCAGCAGCATCTGCAGGAGAGTTAACATTAGTGAGGGCCATGTGGCATGTCAGCAACACCACAGGCGGCTCCTCAGCCCAGACACCGATAACTGAGCTCACACACTGGTTGCATCCCAGGGTGGGAGGAAAGAAGAGCTACTCCCTGATGGCTTTAAAAAAAGCCATCCACCCAGGCTGAGGAGACAAGCATGGGGGTATGCAAGTGGAGAACCCCCAACTTCCAGAAATGAATTGGTGACTTCTTATCTGACCAGCCATGTAACAGGCAGACTGAGACCACTACCTCAGGCACAGGCTGTTTGAGTCCAATGTACCACAAGAGCTGACTCCCATGCTGTGTACCCAAAACCTTGCACCTCCTCTGTGGCCCCACGGAAGCAGAGACAATCTGCCACAGTGAAACTCTCTGGGCTGACAGCATGAAGAACTGCAACCAAGGACTAAGAGATCCCAAAATACTCAGACAAGAGGGGCTGGAAGAGCCAGCCTGACCTCCTCAAGGAGGCAATGCCTTCAGCTCTCACTTTTTCTAGCTACCCGATAGATTTGAGACGGCAGACGTTCAGATATATAGATATTTATTGGTTTCAGTGAATTATACAAATGGATTGACCTGCTATCGATGCCAATAGAACTTTATTGGTATATGGAATGTAAACAGATGTTTCAAATAGAAACATTGCAACCTTATAAAAAATTAACTATTTCGACAATGCCGCAGAAGGAAATTCTGTGTTTAGGTGCTGGTGGGAAAACACTATCTCCAGCTTCTAGGTTTGAATGTCACCAGAACCACTTGATGAAGTTACACACAGAACAAGTAGAGGAGGCAACTGTGAATTGTGGGGCTATAAAGCCATCGAGGGATCTGATGAAAGAACCCGCAAGACAAACTCCCCACCCCCCGCAACAGGATCAGCACCCCAGAATTCAACAAACAGCTGACTTTGTTGAAACACTACATGGGATCCCAAGTCCTGGATCAGTAGCTGCACAGCCCAATCCCTGACAGACCACACCGCTGTTTGCTGATCCTTCTTCCTCCCTGTGCTCTCCTCCCTGGCC